CTTAAATAGCAGGGTAGACTGGGCCCTCTAGCCTTGGATGGCAACCAGTCTAAGAGAAGGAAAACTGAACTCAAAACCAGGATGATGGCAACAGGAAACTACTCCATCTTTCTCAAGATGGTATGACAATTCACAGATAAATCATCATTGCCTTATGTTCTGAAGTCTTACTAGTTAACTCCTAGCTGGGGGAGAAGAAGTGGATTCTTAACTTTCTCAAGGGTATTTGTGTGTAAGTGAATATAATGAACCCAATGGGAATTGGAACACAGCTCTCTGATTAAAAATTCCCAGCCATTATCCATGACACCATTGGTCATTCCATCTAGATACTGACCAGGTTCAGTGTTGCTTAACTTCAGTGATTGTCTGGGAACCTGGTGTTCAAGGCTATATGGTTGTAAGCTTATGTCCTGAAGAGGCATGCCCACCCACAATGTTTAATTAGGTCAAATACTCTTATAAGTAAAGCCATTAAACAAACTAACATCCTATAATATCAATACAGTATCAAATTGATTGCAAATTACAGAGTTCTGCACTTAGTTTTTATTTACAAATGTTGTGCCTTGAAAAATGTTATTGATATCTGCATGTCCTATTCTAATTGTGCTTGTTCCTCCCTTTGTTAGTTTGCATGACTATTACACCCTGTCAATACTTCATAAATAATGGACTATTCCATTTTGATCCTGTGAAAAGGGGAAGACACACTGCTCAGTGAGAATATGAAAGAAAGAAGTGTATAGTGTTTAACAGCCATTTCAGAGAAATAGAAAAAGTTGTCAATTTCAAATCATTTCATTTGTACCCACTTCCAAAATAATTACCAGCATTCATATTTATGATTGTTATTGCAATATTTTGTTGAAGTTGTTAAGCTCTAATATTTAACGATGTGATAGAGGAATTTCTATGAATATTTTACTGTCATAGAACTCACTATGAGCTTATTCAATCATTAACTTAAGAATTTAGATTCATTAGGACATTCAAATAGGAAAACCGTGAACTTTTCACAGGCTAAAACTAGTATTTTATAAATGTAATAATTTATGTATTTTTTTTTCTTTAATTAAAAATGTGGCACTACTTTAAGAATGTATACATCTGTTTCTTGTAAGAAAAATGAAAAAAAAATTCTAAAATATTTTCCTAAAATAAAACATGTACAAATTTATATATCAGTTTGTTCGTTATTTAAAAGAAATATTTTTGTAAAAGATAAAAAGAGGCCATAAGCACAATTTCAAGCCACAACATTTTTAAATAAAACCTAAATGGAGATAACTCTGGAAAAGTCAGGCATCAATTTGAGACTGTATCATTATGAAAGGAACACTTTCCTCTAAATCAATACAAAAGAATCAATATTTTTCGATTCTGACAAGTGTTGTGACCCAAGGAAGGTGTGAGGAATGCTAATTCACAAAAATTATTTTCTCAGAAATTTTTTCCTATTTTTTTTATGTGTGGATCACTCTATTTATTAGTGCCAATTATTGTTTCAATTTTTAAAAGAAATTAATTTTTCTTTCTAGATTGGTTTCAATCCTGGACTTACAGCTGCATATGTGGGTCATCATTATGCTGGACCTGGAAACCATTTCTGTAAGATGTTTTTTTTTTTTTTTTTTTCTTTTTTGTTTCTCCTTCGATATTTTATCTGTAATCTGTTTTAATATTTATCCATTTCATTATTGATGAGAAATGTCATTATTTTATCAATTTATTAGTCAACATATTCATTTATAATGACTTTTAATAATTAAAATTTTTTTTTTCCATTATGTTTAAAGCAATTAGATTTTTTTTTTTTTTCATTTAAAGGTGATATTAGTTTATTTTTTTAAGCATTTCACCCCAAGCAAGGTGGGAATGTCACTAGTACACAAGGGGGCTCCAAAGAGTGAAAGTAATAGAAAAGACTGGGTATTGTGGGTGGGGGGATTGTGGGTTGGATAAAATGAAGAACGGGGATCAAGGCATCATAGATGTTGATTGAAATTACATTTAAATTTTTAAAGATTATAGTTATCAGGGAAGCAAGTAAGTAAGAGGGAGGGAGTTCCACTGTTAGGAAGTGCAAGAGAAAAAGCTGTTTTGGCAGTAAAAGGGTTGGTCTGAAATGCCAACCTAGTAGCCCACTTAAATTCATGCAGTAGGGACACCAGTGAAAATAGCTCATATGAGCAGATGCCATGAAAATATTTATAGAAAAGACAGAGGAAAGCCACATTCTGTTGACGAGAAAGTGACTGGAATCAAGGCCCCAAAGTCAGGACTGATCGCATTGCATATTCATCTTTGGATTTTTTTCAAGGACCTCAAGATGAACAGCTGGGTCACCAGACCATATATGGCAACAGTATTCCATGCATGGAGGAATGGTAGATTTGCTAATGTGAAGGATGTACTCAGACAAGAAAGACCTTCTGGTTTGACACAGAGAACCAACTTTCCTTGCAGTAGATGCAGCTATTGATTAAATGTAGTTGTTCCACTTCGGGTCAGTGGAAAACGTGAGGCCAAGAAGGTGCAGTGAGACTGTCACAGAGGCGAGCATCAGGAAGATCATTGATGAAGATCAGAAACAGTGTAGGACCAAGGATGGAGCCTTGAGGAACACCAGTGTCCGTATGGAAGGAACTGGAAGAGAAACCATTCAGGACTACCTTCATTTCACGCTTAGACAGGAGTAATTGGATTAATATTTTACCAAATATGAGTCAAGAAAATATTGTTTGAAAATAAGATAACATTTGTAGACATGCAAATACTATATAAACTCAAGTATAGTGTGACTTTTATATGATCAATTTTTTATGCAAGAAATAGGAGTTTGTACTATACACAGGTAATTTTTTTTTTTTTTTTTTTTTTGAAGAGGTTAAAAATTATGTATATTTGGTGACCAGTTGCACTATACAAAGGGTTTTTTTTCTTTTTAAAATTTGAAAAAACATTTTTCAGCTCAGAATACAGAGTGTATATGGTAAATGTCACTCATTTGTATTATTTTGAACTGCTACCTTCAGAGAAGACATAAATCTCAAAACTATACCTATTTATTTTTTTAACACCTAATCAAAAGTTTGAGAAAAAACAGGGATTCACTGTTGGATGTATTTACCTGACTATAGCTCAATCTGTTAATATAAGTAATCTGCTAACTTGTGAAGTATCGTATAAATTGAAGAAGTTAAACAATTTTAAATTATTTTTGTTAAAAAAAAATGTTTGCAAATTTTGTGAGAGTATTTTCTTGTTTTGGCCATTTAATAAAAACCACACATTCACACTGCATTTTTTCCCCTTTTTTTTTCCTTTTTTTCTTCAGGGAAATGTCTGCATTTGTCTGAACTAATTCCAGAACCAATGACTGCATATGATGATAGTAAACTGCTGAAACATGGAATTGGCTTCACAAACATTGTCCACCGAACTACAAGAGGTAGTGGAGATTTAACAAAGTAGGTTTCTTTTTTTTTTCTTTTAAATTTTTAATATAAATGTTGTAATTAAAAGGGGTTTAATCTGAAGCATTGTGACAATTTCACACTAGTTAAAGTAGTTTGCAAAACTTGTGCAGCTATGTCTATTATATAGTAACATTATTTATTTTTTAAGAAAGTGGATTATGTTGAACCGATTATTATACCGTTCTTTTATCCCTGCCCCCCCTTTTTTTAATAATAATTTTCATGTTCAAAATGGCAGATTTCGTCTGTAATTATATATATCATGGAATCAAGCATTGTTTCGAAGAAAATCGCTTTTATAATAAAAACTCAGTGAATTTTAAACTAAACTTTATTAAAATATGTAAGAAAAGTGCATGTACTTATATAAACAATTGTATGTTCATACAACATTGACTTTATCACAACATTTAACATTTTGAGTGCTACAGTAACTATTAAATTAATGAGCTATCCATTAAATAATTTAGTAACTTAAAGCAAATAAACATGAAAGCTAATATTATAAATTGCTCTTAAGATGTTTAGAATATTAAAGTCTATAATAATAATGCCTGTTTACATTTTTATGATGACTTCAGCATTATTATATACTAGCTGTTTATGTAACTCTTTTTTTTTTTTTTTTTTTTTTTAAATACCATGTCCATTCAAGTTGTAGATAATCATGACTCTCTACAGATTCCTTTCTTTTATTATGTGAAAAAGTGGCAAGATAAATAGTAATTCATAGTGAATTGAAACTGTTAAATTAATGAAACAATTATGGTTGTGTTTTATTTGTAGACAAGGTTTCAGATTTTCATATTGATACAAACTGACTTTACTGCTACTTTATTCTGCTTTAGTCATTTTCTGTACAAACTAAATCTCTTTGACAGTAGTAGATCAAACACCAACATTGCTATTTTTAACTTAAAATTTGTTTTAGCAACTTATTGTTCATTGAAATCATAAAAATAGTGAATGTCAGGAATTAATGTATGTGTTACTGACAGGCTATGGCCATTAAATGTTATTTTTTCTCTATTACCATATTTTCTTGTGTATAGTACATCTTTAGTTTAATACAATCCCATGTTTCTGAAGCTAAAAACGGAATAAATTACATCCTTGAATATAATATGATCCTGTAGTACAGTCATCCCTATGTATATAAAAAGATGCCCAATTAAGCCGATTCCCAAAGAACAAATATTGCTGACGTATCAAATACCTTTTGAAAATGATTTGTGTTTTATCATCTATTGTGCTGGGTGTATTTACAGTTTTACTGTTTCAAATAAGTTTTTTTTAAGCTAAGTAAAAATGTCTGGAAACGTGTAATTTCATATAATACAACCCTGCTTTTTGCTTTTAATTTTCATTAAAAATTTCTTGTATTATGCACAAAGAAATACAGTATCTCTTTTTCCTTTTTTTTTTTACTATATTAAATCAGTAAGTAACAGGAGAATTATTATAATTGATGCAAAAAGAATACTAAACCATATAAAGTTAATGAATTTAAGAATTGCTGCAACAATTACTCTAAAATGCTCATAATGATAATTACTAAAATAACAATTGTTAATTGATTAATATGTATTCATAAATTTGAATTACAAAAGAAAAATCAATCACAGTTCTTTTTTAATCAAAAGAAAATATCTCAATTTATTTTCAGACAAGAAATCAGAGATGGTGGAAAGCAATTACATGAAAAGTTGAAATTCTATGCTCCAAAGATAGCTGTATTCAATGGAAAAGGTAGGTGGATATATCATTCATGAAATTTCAAGAGTTTAATCTGTATGATAGATCAATTGATTGAAACAATGGATTTGAATATATTTCTTCATAAAAATCAATGTGAATTTCTGTCTGAAACATCACCTCCATTTGGTATGTCCAAACTGATTTTAATTAAAACTATCATTTATGCATTAAGAATTTCAGGTTCATAATTTAAGAGATTTTGAATTATTAAAAATGAAGTGTCACAAAGAAAACTTCAGTTACAAAACAATTAAAATTTTGGATATAATTATTAAATCTAACCATTGTTCTTGAGTTTTTATAATTTTTATTTTCAATTACTCCAGTTAACATTTTCAATTTAACAAACTCAAATAATCACCAATTCTGATTGAAATCAGTCCCAGGTTTTGGGGAGAAAAGAAAAAAAAAACAAACTCCCTGTGCGTGCACACACACACACGCACACATTCTTGTGTGTGTGTGTGTATATATAGATGCACATTTCATTGAAAACGACAGACAAGGTGCTTTTATTTCATTTTTTATACAATTTCTCATGTGATCTAATAATTTTTCTTTTTGGATGATAAATTATGTAAATACTGTCAATGTTCTTTTTATCTGAGTGCTTTTGGCTATACATTTAGCTATTTTCAAGGATTATATTTTAACTGTTAAAATAAGAAATATTTTGTTGTAGGTATGTTTCATAAAATGTTTTCATTTTTCAAAACACGGTCAAGATATTATGTCCATGTTCAAAGTTAATATTATTAAGAGTTGTTTTTTTTTTTTTTTATTAATAAGGCTTCCATTATTTTTAGCCTTTTCTTGCATGTAGATGATGCTATTATATTAGTGTTGTCAACAAGTATGTTACGAATAGTGTCCGGTAGGTCTCGATGAATATTAAATGAGATCTAATTGAGCTATGGTCAGAAAGGTGTAGAGTGAGTCTGCATGTCAATCATGTTGTAGTGTGGCCTATATAATTATTTACGAATTTTGATTGATCAGGAATACAATTCCTTAATGGGCATTTAAATTTGTAAATAATATTTGCCCTATTTAATTTTGTTCTAGGAGGTGAATTATTATTTTTGACTATAAGGTTAGAGGTTTTAAATTTTTTGTAATAAATAATTAATCTAATTTTTTTGCTATTGTCAACTGGTATTATGCATTTTTTTATAATGTTCTTAATTCTGCTTTCATCCTGTTTATAATTTTCGTTCATCTGATTTATATAAAAAATATTAATGACATTAAATGTTACTGATTAAATTCTTTTAAATATTTTTGTATATTTCTGTATTATTAGATGAAACATTGTCAATTCTAATAATTTTCAGTTAATATTATTTTCATATTAATTTCAGTTGCTTTTTATCACAACTTTTTGTTAGTCAACAGTGTTGACCAGAAGTAATGACTAAAAACCTGGAAAGACCCCATCTCACATTGTTTTTTCCTTGTCAGTCATGTTTTAGCATGGGATGCCATCTGAATGTCCAATTCACTGTTATTTTTAATATTTTTGTCTATATTCAGTAGTAGTCATAGTAGAGAAGTATTGCTAATTACTATTAATTTTTTTTATTTCTTAATTTCAGTTGCTTTTTATTGCAACTTTTAACAGCCATAGAGTGACAGTCTGAGAAGTTGTGATTATAAGCAAGCAATGAAAGAAATAATAGTTGCCTATTAATAATTCTATTGACCCAACATTGGTACTGATATTTACTTTGAAATTTGCTTTTGTGTGTATAAGTATATACACACACCTTTATTTCTCAAAATGTGCTTAATCTATAGGATATAGTTTTAAATTCTGTTAGATATAAATCAATATAATTTTGAATTTAAGCTGTCTTACAAATTCAAAAAATATACATTTTGTAAGGCTGTTTAAAAGTAGAGATCTAAACCTATTTGGGAAATAATTGTCATATAAGCTCCTCTCTCTTTATAAGATTGAAATTAGTTATCAAAGAGTATCAGGGGCTAGTCAGTATTAGCCATTAGGATTATCCTTAAAAAAAAAAATTAATTTGCATTTTGGTTTATAGTTAAATGATTCTTCAAGCTAACATTCTCATCTCGAGTGATAAAAATCACGTTTTGGCCCATGAACTCTCCATCCTTCCTCAAGTATCTGTCACATTCAGTAATTTTGTCCATGTTATTGCTTTTGTTTCATGTTCATCATTCCTTTTTAGGGTTTATAAATCTCAATAATATTCCATCAATTTATCCCCTTTTATAACAAAAGTGGTCGGCACTGTTAATTAATATATTTTCTGAATCGTGTCAAATATAAAGGAAAGTTTCTTATTTTTTCATTAATATAAAAAAATGCAAGTATCATAACTAAAACATTTGCTGTCATTTCTTATTCGAAAAGAAAATTTTTTCCTTTTTTTTTTTTTTTTTTCATATGTAATTTTTTTTTCTTTTTATTGTTATTTAGGCATTTATGAGATCTACAGTGGACAAAAGAACTTCATATTTGGAAAACAACCTGACAAAATTGATGGGACTGATGTCGTAAGTAATAACTTATTTTCTTATTGTAAAGTTTAATTCTTGAGTTTCATTTAGATTATTTTTGAAAAATTATGTATGAAAAGTACTGCTTATATCATTTTTTTTTTTAAATTTAATACATATTAGCAAATAAATTTTATATAATTTATATTTTGTAATATTTATCATATATTTTATATAAATGATGCACTATACCTATCCATGTATTCTAAATTTATACCTGTTTCACCTCTTGAGAAATAAGTTTTTAGATTATTTTTTCCAAGAAAATAACTATTCAATAACAGAAAATTAATAGTTATACATATGTATCTTTAAATCATTTCACCCCAAGCAAGGTGATAATACAACTAAGATACAGCTGTTTACTGGTGGGGGGTAAAAGAAAATGAGAAACCTTTAGGAGAAAGAACCAGAAACCCAGTCCTAAACAGGTTTACGTGTACTGAATCACTTTAATAGTCAGGAACTAATATCTAAAGAAAATAAACAGTAACTCTAGAAATATTAAAACTTTTCACAAATTCATATTTAAATATTACTAAAAATGTTAGACATTATATATATATATATATATATATATATATATATATATATATATATATATATATATATATATCATATCTCTGTTCTGAAACAACATTGTTTATGTCTTAAAATTGAAAGAATTTTATCATTTAAATATAAAAGTGAGGTGGTAATGTCAAGCAACTACTGGTAACATGTAACCCAGTACAAACTGTCACATGGATGAGTGGTTGGCATCTAAACCTGCTCTCCCACTAGTTTTCTGCTGATGAAGAGGGTGACATGTCACAGGGCAGATAAGATATTTATAGAGGAAATACCAATATGCCACATATGCACACACACACACACATATATATATATATATATATATATATATATATATATAAACAAACAATCTAACAACTGAATAGTGTTTAACATTTTTGTTGGTATTAAAATTCTAAACAACTTTTTAAAATCATTAACATTGCAGAGGGAGTATACAGTAATAGCAGTGTGAAGAGAAAAAAATGTCCTTTTCAAACACCATTTTATTGTGGGCTTAAAAGTTAAATTTTGACAAAAACTATACTGAAGTTGCATCTAGTAAATTTAGACACTTTAAACTGAATATAATTGTATATTGCATAGATTTTAACTCATATAGTCTTGTCTACACAAATGTTTGATAAGATTACTGTTCAAGTTATAAATTGTCAATTAACTTTTTTATTTTAAGTCTATTATGTAGGAACACAAATAGCTTTACTGATAGACTCAAGTACCCTATTTGGATTACAAAGTATAGTGGCTAAGTGCTCTAGAATGATTCTTTTCTCTGAATTTTGAAAAGCTTTTTTTTTTTTAATTGTAGACTTATGATAATGATTTTTTTCTTTTTTTAATGCAATTTAATAATACTAATGTATAGCTTTGAAGGGGAAAATCAAAAATTTTTATCTATAAAATGGTTGATGATCTCATTTTCTATTTTTTTCTAATGATCTGCAACAATTCTTGGTATTAAGTTTTTAGAATGGAAAGCAAGCTCCACGATATAAATATTCAGAACATTTTTTTTTTATTTGGGGGAAATATCTTTTGTTGTAATTTGTACTTAAATCTTTTAACCCTTACTGATTTTTGTATTCTTCTTCTCTTTGCAGACCATATTTGTGATGCCATCATCCAGTGCCAGGTGTTCTCAACTTCCACGTGCCATTGACAAGGTTCCATTCTATGTTGCCCTGAGGAAACTGAGAGACTATCTTGTTGGCAAGACCAAAACATTAAATGAAGCTGAGGTGTGTTTTCCTGACCTGGAACTAAAAGTGAAGTCAGACAAGACTGATAAAAACAAGAACCAGAAGTCACCCAAACAGGAAAATATACCCTATGTGCCGCCACCTCAGTCCAATTGTCTTTCCATTGAGTATCCACGAGACAATAACTACCAAAGTCCACCAATCCAGCCCCAAGGATCATTTGTGAAACCAGAACCTTTCTACAATCCTGAGGACTATGGTCGAATGCCTGTACCTCAAGGCTTTAATACTGATAAGGGAGCATTCTCCACCACTCCATCTGTATCAACTGTATTCCATAACCTGCCCTATGACACTCTGTCCCCTCCCCCACCCAACCAACCTATTCCTGTGGGCATGTCACAGTACACTAATTATCCCCAAACACCTTATGGTTACCTTCCTTTCCCTACTTGAAAGAAATATTTAATGGGCATCCTTTAACTCAGGGATAAAGTCTTACTTTGGGCTTCATTCTTCACCTAATATAGTTACCTTGACATGACTAATGTTTTATTACAGATGTCTTGTAGAGTGTAGCTATCCTCCTGCCTGTGGGTAAAAAAACAAAAAACAAAAAGAAAAAAAAAAATAACAAAAAAGTACCAAACCCTTTGTGGGCCAAACCTTTTTTTTGAGTGTGAGTGTGTGCGTGTGTGACATGTTTCATCTTGTTTTTTCTTTCTTTCCTTTTTTAAATGCTAAGTATTCTCTTTTTACTTATTTTATTGTGTTTTAGTAGTGATAAAGTCAGTTTTGTATGTAAAAACAAAACAAAATAGCTTTCTGTTGTGCACATTGTACTTATGTATCCTGTCTGGTTAACTGCGTTTTAAAATTATTGACATATTATGTTAAGACTTCTCTTAGAAACATTCTCTGATTTCTATAATGTATTAAAAAAAATACTCTACTTTTTTTTCCTTTTTAAAAAAAAATCTACATATATATACACGTAATATACATTTTATTACTCTATTCATAAATTATTTAACTGTAAAATCATTTAAAATATAACAAAAGATTCTTAAAACTATTTAAAAGAATAAATGATTTTTCTTGAAAAAAAAAAAACATTTAAAATATTATGCAAATGCTAGTATTTATTTTTGTTTTTATTTGGAGAATTATTTAGAAATTTTTTATATAAGATATGTTATACAAAGGTATTTCCCTATCCTGATCATAATTGTATGTTTTCAGCGATGAAATAGCTTCAGAAATTTCAGAAAAAAAATTAATATAAAAAAAAAAGATGAGAGCTAAAACCTGATTTTGGTCATCCGAAATTTATTTTCAAAAGCTGTTTTTTCATAAAATTAGTTTTATATTTTCTATTCCTTTTGGTACTTCCATTATTTATATCACTCTATAATATTTTTTTGTTTGTTCTTTTTGTAGTATTACTATAAGTTTCTTTGAGAAAAGAAGTGATTATCATTGACTGTATATTTGTGTGTAAAAGAGAGAGTAAGAAGTGTGGTTTAATGTGGGTTTAAAGCTTGTTATGCTCATGTAAGGCTTTCGTGCAATTGCTTACTCTCTTCCTTGTTAGTAAAAGTGATGTTATGTATTTGTCCATTTAACCATATGCTAAGGTTGACTAAACCCTTCCAATCATGCCAGGTTTGTTTGTTTTTTTTTAGCATCCTGATACCTAAAAACTTAACCATTTATCCTATTTCACTTTGCACCTTCTTCCTCCTATCCTACTCCCTATACAGTTCACCTTTTGGATCCAGGCTTCACATTCAGCCTTACAAAAGTTTATTTATAAAACTATAAACAGCAGACTGAATATTATAAAAATGTCCCCTTCCTCCAACACAAAAGGGAAAAAACCTGGGGTGGGGAACCCCAAAGAAAAAAATCAAGATTTCAAGAAACCATAAGAAAATTTTCAATCACATAGCATGTTTATCATTCAGTATATTTTTCAAATGCCTTTGTTTATTTTTTTTTTTTATTTTTTTTTATTTTTGCCTTTTAAAACTCCTTTTGTCTCTGTTGACAAAATAAAACATAAGATGAAGCATTTAGAATTCTTTTACATTCTTAAATTCCTTATTAGAGATAATAATCTCATTAAAAAAATTTTTTCATAGAAATATATTTTATCATTCGATATCTTCCTTTTTCTTTAAAAAAAATTCTGTTATAAATTCCTACTATTTATTTATTCATTTTGGTTTTTATATGCCCATTTTTTTATATCCTGGAAATTTTTTTTTTTTTTTTTTGTAAACCTATTTCATAAATTATCTCTTGTTGTCGCCAAAGTGTCATTGTCATGAACAATCGAAGATTATATATTTTTAGAAAAGATCATGTAATTTCCTATTCAAAATTCTCTCTTTTTTTTTTGAAAACAAAACCATTCTTGTGGACTTCGCAAATTGTCTTTTTTATTTATTTATTACTTGAAAATTTTCAAATGTCACACCCTATTTCACTTTTCTTTTTTTTTTTATTCATTAATGCCTAAAGGATTTTGTTGTTAAGCAAAGTAAATATTCAAAGGGGAAAGAATTCATTTGAAAGAACAAAATTTCTCTTAAATTTCTGAAAAAGGAAAAACAGGTTTTCATTTAATTTAGCATCATTTTTTCTGATGTATGGCACCTTTTTATTTATTTTTAGTCATAATTAGTTGCTATTTCAACACAGATATTGTACAAACCATTTTAATTCTGTCACTCTCTTTTCTTTTTATCATCTGCCTTTATTTTATAGCAATTTTCATAACTTGAAACTAAATATTTCCTTAAATTACAACTGTTCTCTTCATAATTTGGGTTCATTGTACAATATATAACTCCTTGGTGTTGAAGTGTCATTAAATAGGAAAAAAAAAAAAACAAACCCAATTCTTTCATAATTTTGGAATTAGATATAATAATTAGATAAACTTTTCACTCGATTGAACTCTCCATACAATGTAGTATTTGAATTTTTTTCACTGACATGTATATTTAACATTAGGAATTGTCTTAACATTAAGTTTGATTATTTAACCAGATGATACTCTGTAGTGCAAATAAAATTGAAATAAAAGTGAAATATTTTTTTGCCTTCTCCTCTCTTGTCTTGTGCTTCATAGTTCAAGACTTAACATTTAAGCTACGTGTAAATAAACAATCTTTGGGAGATTTTTCTTTTTGTTTCTTTTATAATATTCTCTATTCAAATCATATTCTTTACTTGATGCATATTCAGAATCATTATTCAAATATCCATTATCTTAAGAAATCTTAGACTTATCGTCTAATATTAATGATGATGAGTATAAGATTGAAAGAGGACTTCTTTTGATTTAGTGCCAAAGTGATCCTCTAAATTGTTTTACATAAGAAAATATGAAAACTTATCATCAACCTTTCAGTAAGCTGAAATTGAAATAAACTTGTTTACTTTAACCAAAAATTAAGAAATAAAAACAAATAGGAAACTAAATTAATAAATACCTACTCTGAATACTAAACATTTTAATATATTTTTTATCTTTTTACAATATGTAAAAACTCACAAGCATGCATCGATATAAGTCCCAGGCTATTAGTTTTTTTTTTTATTGAAATGTGAGCTTCAAATCAGTCTTAATAAGTATAATAGCACAAATACTTCTTTCTGCAATGCCAAAATGTTTTTTTTTTTTTTTTTTATCAAATATCACTTCTCTTAAGAAGTTACAAAAAAAAGGTCATTGTAGCAACACATGCAGAGATAATGATAGATATTTTTATACATTTTAGTTATTTCAAAGCCTTTTTGAAAATAAAAAAAAATACAAAAATGTCAGTTTTGTAGTCAGAAATTAAATACTGTCAGATTTTTATTCAATTAAGCAGTGGCCTTAGTGCCTTTCTTATTGGCTACTTTTCAACGTACCTATCTCCCTGTACAGTTTTAATACTCATATGCAAATGTTGCACCTTATTCATACAAGAAACAAAAGTGTTATATAAACAAATAAATGATACATAAAGCAAATATGAAACTTAGATTAATTTTAATCTAAAAAATGAAGAGACAGCAATTTCTAAACAGTCACAAAACCTCTTCCTATCTGCTTTGTTTATTTAGCCAAATATCAACTAAAAATTGAACATTTCTCATTTTAAAATTATCATAACTTATAATGAACTTCTTATTGGAAAAGTTTATAGGATACTATTGGAAAATGTAATGAACACTGCAAAGAAAATAATTTCTTTATACTGTAATTTGAAATATAACAAAGATTATAACAGAGTATCTAAAATAAGCAAATTACCTTAACTGTAGCATCAAATATATAACTATAATGCTACAACATTACTTGAGTAGTTTATATTGTTTCTAAAATTTGAATTACAGAAAATAAGTGCAGTTAAATATTAAGATAGCCATGAAATTTAATTCTTAAAGTTTTACCTTAACTGCCACAAATGATGATGAAAAATACAGGGTTTGCAAGGAAATCTGATCATTGTTGTCTATATGAAACAGTGCCTTGCATTCTTTGAACATAAAATGTTTTAATTTTTTAAGAATGTTATAAAACTATTTGTAATTATCCTAATTAAGGACCTTAAAAATGTTTAGTTAATAGTAACTGTGTATGTATCTCCCCATTACTGCCTACTCCTTTTATATCAAGGAATATTTTTATTCATTTATTTTTGTTTAACTTTGAAAGTCATCTCTTTTAAATGTCCATTTTTGCCTTCAAAATCGGTCATATATTATCTTCACTCAGTCTTTAACCAACTTTTACAATTAGTGCTTTTTCTGTACCAGACGTTATTTTGCTTGTCTTATATGACTGAAAGGATATTCTTAGTCCTGAATTACATTGTTTTATTTTTCTTTTCATTTTATATCTTCTTAAACTTCTACAGAATAACTTAATGTAAAATTTATAAAAATTTTAATCAGCTTAATCCTAATTTTGACATAATACATTTCTTTTCTACTACAATATTTTCATATAATATTCTAAATTCCGAGTAAGATGTTTAATCATAAATTTGGCCTTTGTAGATTATATGTCTCAACCATTCGTCTCCCTCAAAAAATATAACCTGACCCTTTTTGTTCTACTTTTTTTTAATTATTGTAAAATGTATTTTCATTTGGAAAATGTTTTACCTCAGCCTCTACTGATAACAATATCATTAACTGTTGGAAAGACAGAGAGAGAGAGAAAGAGATCCCATTGGCAACCAATTTTATAAAGAGTAATTTCTTTCATTAATTTCTTCCATTATTTATGTTCTACACTTTTTTGTGGTGCAAGAGACATGAAACAATGTTACCATTGAAAGGACTTTTATTCTCAAAATAAAAATTATAAATTATTTAAAAAAATAGATGAAATGGAATGATAAATAACTTCATCCATTCTTATATCGACTAAAACTAGTATTACAAATATC